TATCGAAAAAATATCGAACCGTGACACCAAAGTATCGAGCCGAACCGAACCGTGAATTTTGTGTATCGTTGCACCCCTACTGAACATATGTGTTGTCACCTAAAAGGATACTTTATTATTCTTTATTCTTATTTATCTCATACTTGAACTTCACATGGACATCTTTCTAATCCAACTTTCTTTTGCTGGCTGTGCTTAGCAAACAGAAGCTTTGATTATCAGGTGTGTGTGTTGGATTTTAAATAATCGTGTTTATTTAACTGTGGGAAGCCAAAATCATGTGCGGCCCTACTTGCACATATAAAGCAAGTAGGGCCGCACAGGTGGGAAAAGCCTCCAGTTGATCCAAAATGCTGACAGGGACTAAAAAGAGAGAGCAGGAGTTTTTCCCTTCTCGATGTTGCCAATTGCTTACTCACAGTGGGTGATCTCACTGTTGGGGGTCCCAGTATAATATTATGAATTGCAGGGTCCAAAATATCTAATATAAAACACCTAATAAGATCATTAATAACATGATTCAAATTTGATAATTTGTAGATATTAAAAATGTAAAGTTTTGATAAGAATGGGTTTATTAATGGAAATGCACTTCACGGTTGATTCTTTGTTTAGGCAGTGTTACTCTTCAAACAGACGATGGTATGCCATTAGAAGATTTAATTATGAGACAAAAAGCATTTAGGGTCTGGGGTTTTCCTCCTTTCTACTTTGCCTGATTAAGCTGAAATAATCCATTGCCTGCCATGGGATTGGTGAATATGGCTACTGTGTGGGTGTGGACGGCGTCATGTTTCTGACAGTTTGCAGATGGACGGATTACACGTCAAGTCAGGTACCATTAGAAGCTGGACGAGCAGGAGAAATGGAGAGTCACAGTGGCTAAATATAGGAGGGATCAGTGGCCACTAATTCATCTTGCTGGCCATTCATTATGGCTGTCAACCAACCGAAGCAGCTTCTGGACCCAAAATCAGCAAAAACACTCAGCCGTGCGCACACACATGCACACACTCTTACATAATCCTGTTCTAATGAGTTAAAAGCTAAAGCCCTTGATAAAGAACAAATAATATTCAGCTCCTTCCAGTTCCTCTTATTCTATCATTTATCAATACATTGAAATGGTTTCCATCATAAAAAATAATCAGGAAGTAAATTCAAGGACAAAGGTTTGGTGTGAGATGTAGAAGGGAACACAAAACACCCATCAACGTTTACTCTGCACATAACCAGTCATACTTCCTTTACTGTAATGCAACATGGACCTAGAGTATGTTTAGCACAATGATCATGGTAACATGGCCTAATTTCAAATAATAAGGTCAGCATACTGAGCATATGTGTAAGTAGTCCATGTGAGCCTTAAGTTTCCACAGTTGTTTTCTACTTTGGATTGTCACAGATCACATCAGCCATGCAGCTGTGGCTGTTTAAAACTTGCATTTTTATAATCTTCTAATTCACAAACTCTTTAGGCCTTGAGACAAGCATTAATGCCACATTTTAGGGGGAAAAAGCAAAAAGAGAGAGACTCAGAAACAAACACATAGACTGTGATGATGAAGTACTCACACATGAGCAGCATAAGCCGACAATAGCCAAGGACTCCAAGATGCC